AAAAAACCCGAATCAAGAATGCAAGGTAGTTGCGTAATAAACTAAGACAGTAGAAATATCGAGGAAGGCAAGGAGTTTTACGAGGTGAAAATTGTTGGTAGATAAGAAACGCATATATTGAGTGTCCACTTGATAGATAGATGTAAAGAAGGCGAAGAATGAGACAAGGGTCATAATGAAGGTGATAATAATAAACTAATTAATTATAATGAAATCGAAAGAATGAAAGTGTTAAGACTATGGTTAAATGATGTAATTATACCCTATTGTTTTATAATAGACTGTTATATGTTCTTGATATATATATATATTTATATATATATATATATATATATATATATATATATATATATATACGATTGTACAGCTTTAGAAAATGATATAGTTGAAAAAGAAAATTTTCTTCTCTGAATTATCTTTTCTCTATGACTCAATGGACATGTCTCGTAGGCAGCACCGTTTCAACTACAGGCGGCACAGACGAGGATGTCAAAACCAGGATCAGAAAGACAGCAAGACAGACCTTCATTAATCTGAAATCACCTGTGGAGATCTATTGCACTCATCACAAAGAACAAGATCCGGATTTTCAACACCTATGTCAGTCAAGTAAGTCATTGCTTCTATGCGATGGCTGGGAGACTAAGTGCGTCACGAAAAGCACTTCCAACAAACTACAGATATTCGTTAACAGCTGCCACCAACGCTGGCTCGATACTGAAGATCAGATGGCCAGAATAATCAGAATAAGCGACAAAGAACTCACTCTGGCTGTCAACGAACCAACCAAGAACCTATCACCCAACAGATATGCAGAAGAAAATGGAGATGGATTGGATTGGTCATACACTAAGAAAACCATTCCGAGACATCACGCGCCAGGTCAGATCCCCTAGTGGGATCCAAAGGGGAAACGACGAGTTGGGTGTCCCAGGTAGGGGTGACATGCAAGAGATCGTGTGAGGAAGAAATGAAACGTTGTGAGCATTGGTGGGGCGAGGTTGAGATGACTGCAGAGAACAGAGTGCAGTGGAGATGTGTTACTAAAGCCCTATATTCCACTAGGAACCCAAGGGAAAATAATAATAATGATAATAAAATCAGTTTGCTTGGGTTCACTATGTAACAGCCTACTATGTTCTTGTAGTTCGACATCTGAAATTGTAGATGATTTGGTTCAGGGAGTTGTCTTTCAATCAACGAGTCGTAGGACAGTCAGATAGTATCATAAGCCCTGGTACAATATGTGTTGATCCCTGTCTATTGAACGAATATTCACAGAATGACTCTAAAGATCATCCTAACAATAACTAAAATAGCCAATTAGATTTCGCTGTTTCGGCTTCAAAGATAGATTTTCACTAAATAAAGGAGTTTAATTGGTTATTTTACTTCTTTTAGGGCGGTCTTTAGAGTCAATCTTGTGTACTCATTAGGATGAGTACAGCTATCTATAAAAGCCAGCTTTGAAGATCTTATAACATGGTCACCAGAACGACTACTGAAGTAACTAAGATGACGTCTCCATTTTACGAAAGACTACCTTTCCAGTAGAAATAGACATAAGTGATTAGTTATTTCAGTTGTTCCTGGGGTGACGTTTAAATTCACTAACCATTCTTCACAGATAACTGAATATAAGTTTGAAAAGGCCTGTAAAGAATTTTATTTTACCGAATTACATCATTTTGCATAAATTAAAATGATTCACTTATCTTTATCTTTATCACTTTTGAATTAACAAGCAGTTCGTCATCTCTGATTACTCTTACTCCGATATAAAAAAGTTTGATTCACTATCACATCTATTATCACTGTTACCACCCACAGAATATTTGAAGGACGATATCAGTTTGTAATAAGCCAAAAGACTGTGGAGATTGTCCTTATGTCGAAAGAGTGGGAGGTGAACTATGTTAAAGTTTATCTAACATCTTTGTCCACACTGCTTCCTAAGCTATAAGCAGTTAAGTAGATAATGAAAGAGACATGTTCTGGATTCAAAATCACGACCAAAAGAGGCTAGCTGGCCAGCTGCCTTAAGGAAGGACAAGTCATATGCAGATCAAATTCCAACGCTACGCTACGCATCATCAAGGAACAGAATATAGAATGTAAGTCAACTCAACTCTACATCAACATCATCCACTTTGAAAACGCCTTCGATAGCCTCGATCGAGAGGTAATTTGGAAACTGCTTCAACACCATGGTTTTAGTGACACAAAACTGTATCAACCTAATTCAACAACAGCTATATGCTATGTGAAGCTACATGCTACATGTCAAGTGATTGACAATGGAAAGCAGCTCAGTGATGCTTTTGAAGTGAAGTGAAGTGAAGTGAAGACAGGTTGACAGGTAAGACAAGGTCGTCACCTACTTCGACCGATCATCATCCTGATTGTGGTCGACTGAACTGAACCGAACCGAACCGAAATCGACTGGACTGGACTGGACTGGACTGGACTGGACTGGACTGGACTGGACTGGACTGGACTTCATCATGCAAGAAACTGTGAGGAGCTGTGAGAAGACGGCAATACGCTGTTCGACCGGTGAAAAAAACCCAGAAAAAGCTTTGGATTTCGCCCATGATGATTGATGTCTAATGTCTCATATCACATAACAAGCATTAGGTTGGCAGAAGAGACAGGGCAGGGCAGCGAAGACGGAACCTCCATCAGGTGAACGTAGAAAAGACACAGGTGATGAAGATCCCAACCAACCAACCAACAACAACAACAAGCACCAATCACCATCAGTGGGAGAAATCTAAAGCAAGTTGTCTCTTTCACCTACCCACTCACCTAGGCAGCATCGTTTCTACTACACGTGGTGGCACAGGCACAGGCACACATGAGGATGTCAAAGCCAGAATCGGAAAGACGCCAAGACAGGCCTTCCTTCATCAATCTGAAATCAGTGGGAGATCTACTACACTACACTACACTCAGCACAATGCCTGAACAACATACGGATTTTCAACACCAATATCAGTCAAGTAAGTCAGTGCTTCCATGTGATGGTTGACAGACTTGACGCGTCACCGAAACCATTTCCAACAAACTACGCACATACATCATCAACAGCTACCGACCATGCTCACTCGATAGTGAGGATGGAGATCAGATGACGAGAATAATGAGAACAAGCAGCCAGGAAGTCACTGTGGCTGGTTGGCAACGAACTAACCAACCAGGAACATATAGGTCAACAAATATGTAGGAGAATGGAGTGGAGATGGATTGTATTAGGGATACACTGAGAAGATTATTTGGGGACGTCACACACCAGACGAGGCCGTCAAGTGGAATAGGAATGGGAAAGGACGAGTTGGGCATCTTAGGTGAGGGTGAGATGGAGGAAGTTTTGTGAGGAAGAAATGAAAGATTGTGGGCAATGGTGAAGTCAGGTAAGCGGAATAGAATGTATGGAAGAGGAGAGAGTGAAATGGCTTTCTGCTATTGAAGCTCCATCCTCCATTAGGAATTGAATTGACAAATAATAATTATAATAGCTGTAATAGATTTTTAAAGGAGTTGTGGGGATTCGGAAATATTTCAAGTTGTTATTCTTCGTAAACTGGCATCAGTTGGAGGAAGAAAGGAAACCTGGGAGAGGGAAACCCTGATGGTCGTGATGACAGTTACTCAACGATGACATTGGGTCGCGGTTGCGCTATATCGTGAGCTAACAGAAGTTGGAAATATGGCCCATTGAATTCTGTTCCAGTGGCTAGCTCGATGGTAACGTGCTGGTCACGGAACCTGAAGGTCGTGGGTTCAATCCATGTTGTTGTGGGGTCGTGGGTGCGCACTGCTGAGGAGTCCCATACTAGTGGAACGAAATAGCTGTCCAGTGCTCACAGGTTTCCCTTGTTCCCCCAAGTGCTGTCAGTCTACGAGGAATAACAACTTGAATTAATAATAATAAAATGTTGTAAGTTAGAAATAACTCCAGCTTATTTGTGAGGATAGTAGTATTTAAATGAAAAATATTTTTACTACCTTTAACTTTAACTGTTTTTTTAAGTACTATTACTTTTTCTTTTGATGAAATATAAGTGACTTTCAGTACAAAATACGCATAAATTGACTCAGAATACATGACTATATTTTATTATTAACTGGGAAGTATATTCTAACCGGATACTATTTTAATGGAAATATGAAATTACACTAATACTTGATTTTCCGGTAACTCATTCATTGAAATGGACATACGATAAGGAAAACACTAAGCAGAAACGCAGTAGCTGTACGATAGCGAAGGGTCAATGGATTTTAGCCTTTCACATTTTGAATAGTGATCTAGGTGTTGATTTATCTAGTTTCTTTTCACTCTCATAGGAAGTATCACCCTCTAGAAGATATGAGAAATGATCTATAATCTGTTGCTGAATCATGTTTAAGTGGAGTGCTGCTTCTTGTGTAAATTGATCAACGATGGGAGCCGTTACCGTAACAAGTGGTAGCAGTTCCTTCGATGACAGCACTCATGGAAAAACTGTATCTCTGTTGAGATTGCTACTAATAGGGTTGAAACAGGCCAAACTTCCATTATCCTTTTCATTTACTATCAGTAGTAATACAACGTGTTTACATATGCAAATATGCATAAATTACTAGTTGTAATCACCGTAAAGTATGAAATTAATAACAATTGGTAAAGTTAAGGAAACGGAAAAAATCCCCCTGAAAATAAAATTGAAATAAATCATGAAAACAAATATGTAACCACTGGTTCTTTTCAGATGTGTAGCTTTATTATCAAATAACATGATAATCATTTACAGTGTAAAAAGTTACAAGAAACAAACAAACTTCAAGTATAAAGCATAAAAGAAAATGAAAATAAAAATGAGATTTTAAAAAATTGTGCTTTGTAACTGCTACTACTTGTAAGTGGATTGTTAGTAATATAATTCATCTTGTGAAAAGTAAGCAAATCCAAAAAGAATTGTGTTAAATTTTGACATTCGAAACAAATAGTGGAATAAATGAAATGGTTTGATAAACGAATTGAATCACGTTTATGCAAGTCACTCCGGCGGTTTTTCGTCATACATGAAAATAACTATGGTTTAAATTTGATTGGTCACCATCCTCATCTAGATGATTCATCGCCAATTTCCAGTCAAGACCACGTTCAAAAAGCCCTTCATTGTAATTCCCATATTGTTCCTAATGTTGGTAGGAAACACGATGTTGGTAATGGGGCGATAAATAGATTCATGAAAGTGAAGTTGATAATGAAGGATGCAGTGTTAGTAGAGCTGAAGGTGAAGCGAATACAGATAAAATCAGTTATGCCTCACTAACAGAGTGCGAAAAATAAGTTCGGATGATCTAGTGCAGAAGGAGTTAGATTATATTCGTAATACATTAATTGCAATGGGCCGCCTCAATAGTTTCATAAAAAGATACATGGACAAAGCCAGGGGGAACAAACATGGAATTGTTACCATGCAAAAGAAACCTTTGTTTATGAAATTGCAATTTAATGGGGATGTGGTATGAGAAGTTTTTTTTATCAGAGACTCTCTAGATCCATTAAAAGGACTTTCTACGCCGCATAACTTCTGTCATTTTCCAGTCGACCAACTGCTGCTGCTCAGACAAAAGGTAAATTATCTAGTTTTGGTATTTCTATGTTTATTTACAAGTTTAGCTGCTCCTGTGGAGAAAGCTAAATAGGGCGTACTATTAGACAACTTAACAAACGTGCTGCTGAGCATCTACTTTCATGGTTGAGAAAGGGACAGATAAAATACATCAGAAGCTCGGCTTTATCTCACCTCATTGATAGTGGTCACTCGGTAGATAAAAACAATGGTTTCACGATTATACACCACATACCATCTCATCTATCGAAAGGTAATCAAACTCTTCTTTTACACAGTAGAAGTGGTGGGAATTCGAGCTAATAATCCTAGCCTTTATATCCAGGAGAAATTTGTACATCCCTTATCTCTCCCTTGGCCAGGGAATATTTAGTGAATAACTTTGTCATTCAGTTCTTTTTCCTACCCCTTTTCTTATTCTCCACCCCTTTAGTATACTTACTGTATTTGTCTAGGCTTTGTTTATCTAGTTGTCTCCCCCCTAACTATTAAGTAACTTTTACTTTCACAAGCTGTTGACCAATTTTGATTATTGCAGTGTCTACGTTTTCATGCTACTTTCTTGGTTCTTATCATTATCATCTATATTGCATGTGTTTTAGTTAACGTTATCACTTTATCATTATCTTTATTTGTATCATTATCTCCATCATTATGTGAAACATTTATCACATCTCAGTTTGTTATTCCTCGTAGACTGACAGCACTTGGGGGAACAAAGGAAACCTGTGAGCACTGGACAGCTATTTCGTCCCACTAGTATGGGACTCCTCAGCAGTGCGCACCCACGACCCCACAACAACATGGATTGAACCCACGACCTTCAGGTTCCGTGACCAGCACGTTACCATCGAGCTAGCCACTGGAACAGAATTCAATGGGCCATATTTCCAACTTCTGTTAGCTCACGATATAGCGCAACCGCGACCCAATGTCATCGTTGAGTAACTGTCATCAACCGACAAATCTACATCATTGATTTAATTGTATATTTATATATTAAGCTATTTGTATCAGAGTAAAGCCTGAAGAGGATTAAATTGACAAAAATATTGTTCACTTATATGTCTTGTTCTAATTTACATGATGGGAATTTTTAAAACTCTTACGCTATATAGTTCCCCGTTATTAGACAGCATTAATCCAATGAGTTTTGAAGTCCATGGGTAAGATAACAGCATACTTATAACAGGTAATAAAGCAAATTCTGGTTATCCTTGCTAATTTGAAATAGTGGTAAGTCAGTCAGTGGAAAGGAACTGCCTTTAAGTCACGTAGTAATTTAACTTTAACACAGATCAGATTAGTTGGTCAGTCAGATTTTGTTTGCTTTAAGTATGCATTAAATCATCAACAACAAAGTGAATATGATCGGGAATGTGATTGAAAATCAAATTCCTTTTCATTAAATTTAATGGCTGAATCAAAGAAAGTATATAGGCTACCACTTTTTGACCTCTGGCATGAAAAGTGCATTGAATCACCCAATCCAAATTCAAATTTTTGTGATGAGAGTTTTGATGACTTTGGTGAGGATAAACCTAATGTACAAGATAATTTAAGAATTCTTAGGGATGAGGCTAGTTCTTTGCAAAAATCACCTTCTATATCATTAAACCATATAGATGGTTAGTATGATGAAAACAATGAAGGAGGTAGCATTACCCATGTAGGTGATCAAGAATCATTTCCAAGGAAATGTAAATGGCATAATACTAATATCCACTTAAAAAACTATGAAAATATTGAGAAATACAATCAAATCGCGGGTCTACGTTCTTCATCCTATGAATTATTTTCTAAAAAACCAAGAATATAGAGACAGAAGTGAAATTTATGAATCCTTCCTTCCCACTAGAGAAGTATAAATGTCAGTATTTGTTATCGAAAGTACAACCAGGAAAAACATTCACCTGTTCAGCATCAGGTAGATATAAAAACTGCCATGATAATCCTTTCAAACCAAATGGAACTGAAAAAACAGAATATCAGTATGACGAAAAGTTACCCTAACTATGTACTGAATCAATCAACAGCTTGTTCAACAGTTGTCGTTAATACAACACATACGTCTACATCAGATGTAAACGGGTAGGCTACATCATCATCATCATCATCATCATCATCATCATCATCATCATCATCATCATCATCATCATCATCATCATCATCATCATCATCATCATCATCATCATCATCATCATCATCATCATCATCATCATCATCATCATCATCATCATCATCATCATCATCATCATCATCATCATCATCATCATCATCATCATCATCATCATCATCATCATCATCATCATCATCATCATCATCATCATCATCATCATCATCATCATCATCATCATCATCATCATCATCATCATCATCATCATCATCATCATCATCATCATCATCATCATCATCATCATCATCATCATCATCGAGAAGGTCAACTGCAACTCACTTCAAATTCCACAGACAAAAGATTAGCAAGTATAAGGAAATTGCAGCAGTATCCTAATAAACCTGACAATAGCTCACTGCATAATTCACTAGACTCTATATAGCGTGTATCATCAGTAGATCCTGTCAGGAAACCAAATGCATTACATATACATCATAGGGACTTAATTTGGTCCTGTCAGTGAAATTCTGAGAAAGCTTATAAATATACATCAAAATTTTGCCGTCAGATGGAAACAACAACAGCAGAAACAAAAGTTGGTGTAAGTGCTTCTCATTCAAAAAGATCCAATGGAGGAGCAAAAGAAAGGACAATCCTAACAACAAAGATCATCACCATCATCATTACCACAGTGTCTCATTTGATACAGGTAACGAATCATGGGCATATGAATCAGTTGAATAAAAAATTACGTAAGAATACAGGCAGCGTATTTAAATAGAAACAGCCACTTAACCGTAAATACAATGCTGGTAAGAACTCGACTTCATCACTGGATGTAATCAGTGGACAGAAAAAACACGGTAAAACGGGTAAAACCTTAATCGGTCGCAGTCAGAACTCAAAATCACATGCATCAGACGATAGGAATCAGAATAAGTTATTTGTATGAAGCTGTAAGTGTTGATAATGACATATGGTCTCATTATTGAAGCCAAAAGATTATACAAATCAATGAACGGTTTGGCACAAAATTACATTATTCAGTCTTCTTTTTTGTGAAAGAATCATTGTGCAGACACCTTGAGAATGTTCATCACCACATTTATGATATTCAATTAACGATAAATTGTAAAACGTACACACACCTTCTTACTTTCAACTAGTCACCTGGATGCATTTAAAGCAATGTTGGTTTTCCCATAAAGACAGTTGCCAGTGTTTACTGCTGGAGATGATCTATACAGCCATTTATGTCTCCTGATAAAAAATGACTTCCTCTCAAAATTTTCAAGAATTAGTCTAGTCTTCAGAGGGCATTTCAAGCAGCATAGTTCTTGAAAATGAAGACTGAAAACATGCAAAGTCTTCTTGGTAGATTACTGGAAGATATTGAAAAGTTTAGTATTTTTCGTACAGGTCAAAGTAAGATTATGTTGTCATACTAAATCTAACACCAATTCCAAAAGTGGATAATGGGTTATTTGGATGAGTACGACGATTTACTGGTTTTAGAATTTATACTCACACTGAAGAAATCTTGATATTCGTAGAACCATAATATAGGTTATGTGTGTGCGATTTGTGGATACTTGTTGGAAAGCTGAGAGTAATACATAGCAGTACAGGTTCTCCTTAATTATGACTGAGCTATATTTCCGTTCGAAGTGATCAATATCAAAAGGTTAACGGTTCTTAGCAAGTAATCTATTCACATTTATTCATAGAAGGAAGGGCATTTAACAAATAATTACTCTTCTCATCAACCGATTCTCAAGCTGTAATATATATATATATATATATATATATATATATATATATATATATATATATATATATATATGACAGAATTCAGCGTGAAATTCCGACACGAAATGTCTCGGTAGCGCTTTCGGAAATCTTAACTGCACGTTCGCGTGATGTATAGAATCCAGGAATCATATAATGAAGATTCGTGTGAAATACAGAGTTGTCACACAAGTGAAGCAATGAAAATTTTCACAGACACAAACCTTGAATATTCTATTATCTACGTATATATAACATCTTCAAACATACAGTTCATAAGCAAATTATTAAAGTAAGTCAATGATAAGTCCGCCAATAAACAGGACAATGCAAAGTTTAAAAGGTAATATGTACAACTTGTGCGGTAAATAATAGCATAGAGAAGTGCGGTCAGAAACATTGATGATGAAGTAATTGACTGAAAACGAATAAAAACAAACTAGTTAAAAGTCTTCAAGGAAGCTGGTGATAGACCTCAATTCAAGTACAACACTCGGAAACTGAAGGATGAAACTACATAGGAGATCTTCACGTCAGTCAGCCATCAAGACAAAATGGGAGATATCGAGGAACATCCCTGAAGAAACCTGTGTGGAAGAACACTGGAAGTCTTTGAAAGAGATGTGGAAAGAAACCTGCACAACAGTATTGGGAAGGAAGAAGAAAGAAGACAAAGAGTGGAATGGATCTCGATGGATACCTGGAAGCTGATAGAGGAGAGGAGGATGGTGAAGCAGAAGATAAACCAGTGCAAGGATGCTCAACGACAAGAGGAACTGAGCACAATGTATAAAACACTGGACAAAGAAGTGAAGAAGAGTGCACGGAGAGACAAAAGACACTTCTACGAAATACTGGCAAGTTAAGTAGAACAGACTGAAGGCTGGTAGGAGAGACCTGACGACATTGTATCAAATAACCAGGTTGCTATCAGGGAAGAGATCAACACAGATGAAACCAATAAAAGATGAAGAAGGAAGTTTAATTACGAAGGAAGAGAAACAAAGGAAGCAATGGGCCGACCACTTCAAGAAGCTCTTGAATCGACCACCACCTGCACTTCGTCCAGAAATACCACCTACAGCCGCTGAACTACAAGTGAACATAAATCCTCCAACAAAAATGGAAGTCCTGAACACCATAAAGCTACTGAAATGCGGGAAAGCAGCAGGACCAGACGGGATCCCACCAGAAGCACTGAGAACAGACGCAGAGACAACAGTAGACATGCTCACACCACTATTGCAGAAAGTCTGGAAGGAAGAGAAGGTACCTGGCGATTGGAAGAAGGGTTACCTTGTCAAACTGCCGAAGAAGGGAGACCTCAGTGTTTGCAAGAACTGGCGCGGAATCACTCTCCTGTCCACCCCAAGTAAAATATTAAGCCGCATCATCCTGGAGAGACTAAAGGATGCACTGGATTCAAAACTACGACCGGAACAGGCAGGCTTCAGCAAGTACAATTCATGTGCAGACCAAATTGCAACGCTTCGCATCATCATAGAACAGAGCGTAGAATGGCAATCAACTCTCTACCTCAACTTCATCGACTTTGAGAAGGCCTTTGACAGCGTCGACCGAGAAGTAATTTGGAAACTGCTTCATTACTACAAAGTACCGCAAACCTTTATCCGCCTCATTCAACAACTATATGAAGATGCCACATGCCAAGTAATTCACAATAGGAAGCTCAGCTCAGTGATGCCTTTTAAGTGAAGACAGAAGTGAAACAAGGTTGCCTATTATCTCCCATGACATTCCTGCTTGTAGTGGACTGGATCATGCAGCAAACAGTGGGGAGCTGTGAGAAGAGGGGGATACGCTGGACTGCTGAAAAGAACCTAGAAGACTTGGATTTCGCCGATGACTTGTGCCTGATGTCACATAAACTTGAAGATCTACAGGCGAAAACTAACAAGTTGACAGAAGAGGCGAGGCAGCGAAGACGGGACTTCAAGTGAATATAGAGAAGACAGAGGTGATGAAGATACCGCACCGACAACAACAAAAAACTCCAATCACCATCAACGGGAGAAACTTAAAGGAAGTAACCTGCTTCACCTATCTAGGAAGCACTGTTTCAACTACAGGTGGCGGGACAGACGAGGACGTCAAAGTCAGAATCGGAAAAGCAAGACAGGCGTTCATTAGCCTGAAACCAGTGTGGAGATCTTCTGCACTCAGCATGCGGAACAAGATATACGGATTTTCAACACCAACGTCAAGTCAGTGCTTCTGTATGGTTCAGAGACTTGGCGCGTCACGAAAGGCATTTCCAATAAACTACAGACATTCATCAACAACTGCTTACGCTCGATACTGAAGATCAGATGCATTGCCAGAAAGAATAAACAACAAGGAGCTCTGGGAACGAACCAACCAAGAACCTATCACTCAACAAATATGCAGAATGGGGAAGTGGAGATGGATTGGGCATACCCTGAGAAGGCCGACTGGGGGACATCACGCGTCAGGCCGTCGAGTGGAATCTCCATGGGTAGCGACGAGTTGGACGTCCGGGGGTGACATGGAGGAGATCGTGCGAGGGGGAAATGAGAGCTTCTGGGCCGTCGTGGAACCAGGTTCAAAAGATCTCAGAGAACAGAGGTCACTCGAGACGTGCTACTGAAGCTCTATGTTCCACTAGGAACCCAAGGGACTAATAATAATAATAATAGTTGTTGGGAATCTTTAGTACTCGATGATATGCAGATGACAAGAAAATGATAGGATTTGGATAGCCCTGCTTGTCAGTAATTAGAAGAGTAAAACTGGAGGCACATAAAACGGTAATGGGACAGAGAAATAACAATAAGAAGAAAAACAATTGAAGTATAAAAGAGTTCTGACACATACTACCCCAAATTTTGTGGAATTCTGTGCAAAAGTTATTGTATCCGTCTACATGAACGTCAACTAGCAGTGAAGCGTCATGACATATCTTCTCTTAGATGAATACGTACGGGCAGCTGTGAGCGTAAATTTGATTGGAAAAATGTGGAAATCTTGAATGGACGAAATGAATAAAATGACACAGAATTCTTAGAAACCTGGTCTTCAGGTCAGTCGGCGATCAATAGACATTGACCCAATCTATCAACCAATAGAAAACAACAAGAAGGTCAAAGTTCACGTCTAGTAAGACAACCCATCGAAATAAAAATGAAGACAATGACAAGACATTGGCAGAAACAACCAGTTACACCCAAAGCCAACAGGGCAAGCTACTAAGCCACTTGCAGGGAAAATCTAATCGCTCATTTCTTTCTGGAGCTTGTGCTTATGATATTGTCTAAAGTGACAGTAAATGCCTGACGATTAAATCATCCAACTCAGAGAATACAACACCATCATAGTTGTAATTCTTACCATCACGTGGATTATCGAGTTTCAGTCAAATGATACAACTGTTGAATAGTTTCCATATCTGACCATTTTTTACCCAACTTTCTAAGCTTTTTACACTACAGTTAATCTTACCTTTGTCTCCCTGATACTTCCTACTTGATAGGCTGCTGTAGTTTGACAAATCGAAGCAATACACTATAGTCCATTACAGCACACACTAATGAATTCTGTTTTTCCTCGGTACATAGTTTGCGAAAAAT